GGCCTAACCCGAGGGCGCAGGGAATAAGGCATTACCGTCTCATTCCTGATGCGGCTGCGCACAGCAGGTGCCTTTTTGAGCAGCACCGGGCTCTTGGGTTTTAAAAGTATTTCGACCGTATTGGGTAATACGCCGGCGGTCACGGTCAACCGTTGGGCGATCGGAGTGTGCGGTTTTGGGGCCGGCCCACGTCAAGGTGGCAGCTTTAGGTCGAGTAATTGCTGTTACCGGGCCGTCTTTAAAAGTTGCTCGAGAACACGCTTGCTGTTTTCTCCTGAATGGTCTTTTTTGTCGCGAAAGGTGTGCGATAAATTTTGGAATAATCCGTGGCTATGAAATCGTTGAATGTGATCGTCTGGCTTCACTGTTCAAGGCTATGAGTGGGCTTTCGTTCACAGTATGGCAAACGTGTCCAAGGCAAACTCCACCATTCTACTCCGTTCGTTTGTCGTATCTGTGATTCATGTTTCATGTCTCAACTGTTTGGTCACCTATCCGTATTTACTTTGACCCGATTTCAGTCCTCTGTGTGATCAATTAGGGCAATTCACACCACATGTTATTATTTGCATATATCTTTCTTCCCTCTTCATCTAACCTTGTTTTTATCTACTACTATAGCCTCCAAAAGAATCTTCGACGCCAAGCCCTGTGGGTTTCGCTTCTCAGGAGGACTCCAATTTGTTCGATCACTTCGGTTCCCCGGGCCCGATGGACAGCCGACGTGATGGTACTACCGGATTGTGTGCACGTTACGGGTATCTTCTCACCAGGGTTTGCGCTATACCCAAAGACACCAGTGTATTCGGTGCACTGAGAGATGCCTTCCGACGCGAAGGCGACTGTCCCATCCGCGCCAGGGTGCTCCGTTTGCGTTGTCCTGTTACCGTAACTGGTGGTGGAGGGGGGCTCGGTGAGTGGACTGGCGCTTATTCGTCAAACTCCACTGTGAGTACTTCTCATTCACTTTCCGAGCTCTACTAACGCTTTAAAATACATTAATGCTTTTTAGGAAGGCTACTTTTGACCGGCACAGTTGATTTTCATTGCTACTTGTGTAGCGTAAGTGTCTACTGCTCTGGTGATAGCAACGTGCACCAATTTCCTTCGGATCTGGCCTTCTTTCTCTGTACAGCAGACAATCATATCTCTCCTTCCATGGTCCCAGTAAACATATGCAGCGATTTGTTTTGTGCAATATTTTCTACAGCCTTGGGTTTCGCATTAAACTATCCACTTTGCCTATCTTGCACCACCAACCTGTTGAGTGTTTCTCGGTCTCTACATATGCCTTTTAGGAATGGGAAGAACTCACTTTGGATGTTCGCAGGCGATTTCATCTAACTTTCGATTCTGAGGCAGAGTTTTGGATCCCATTGGACCAAGTTCTCAAGAATATGGTTGGTGCAGTGATTTGTCGTCTTCCTGATACTGGGATTGTAAATCTTGGCGGGCGTACTTGGGAGCTGAACGAACATCATGGAGCCTGGCATGGCCATCAAGCTGGTGGAAGTATGCGATATCGTGATAGCTTTCTAAACAATCCACAAGTAAGGGTTTAGTGTCTTACTTGTCCCATAACGATTCACTTGCCTTTCTCCATAGCACTGATCTGAGGTTCCCATGTCGTGATAAGCATGTCCCTCGCGGGAGGTGTTGACTACACTTTTCATGAATGTCTCGCAATCCTTGACTACACCCATTAGGAAGACTGGAGAAAACCATCACGTGTTCATAAGCGTGTTCGTACAGAACAGCTCCTAGTCGTGGGCGGTGACATGTCGAAAATTTTGACAAGAACCTTGACTTTCCCGTGTTCGGTTCCTAACTGAGAATAAATTGATCGCTTGAGCATCTTAGGCACTAAAAACAATACTTGGCGCTCAGAAGATTTTCACAGTTATTTGGTTGGCTCTTGTTTGAGTGTTAAATGTTTTCATGACGGTCACTTATCTAGTTTTAAGATGTCCAGTTGAGTGGAACTATCAAACTGTGCTGTCTAACCAGTCCGTACTTTGTTTCGCTTAGCGGGTTTTTGTAGCTCTGGAGTTGCTAATTTTTCGGCAGAGAGTAGGTCTGAGCACATTCATTATGGAGACTGCTACCCACTTGCTCAATTCAGGTTTCACACTGAGTTTCGCACCAGAGCTGGAACAATTTCCACCCGATTACACAAGTAGAGCGCCACTGTTGTATCTTCACTGAGACGTGTATCACTGTTGGTCCTCCAAGCCATTTAGCACTGTCCACTCGCTTGGATAATCGAACTGAGCTGGCGAAAAGATCTGGAGTCCTGCCATTATCCAGGACTGAGGACAGTGATTCGTGATATTTCTCCGTATGTGCGGACGCATTCCCTTTTCGACTCATACTAACTTGTTGTCGCTGTTAAATATTTTCGTAGAAATCAGTCTAAGAAATTTTTGGCGAACGTTCCACTCTTATGAAGTGTACCTGTCTGTCTGTTCCTTCAGAAGACGTCGCCTTTTTCCCCCAGGAGAAAATCCTGTGTGTACATCTTTCCACTTCGTGAAATGTCGGTACAGATTTTAAGCCGACCTTTCTAGACTTATCCCAAATAGCCTTTCAGCTTAGCAGCTTGTGCCTCAGCAAAATAGCGGCAGTCCGAAAGCCTGCTGCTTCCACTCATACTTGTGCTCAAAAATCGAGAAAAGTCCCACACATTGCACTTCGTCCATATACCCCACTCATCTAATCCACCCATTCGAAATAACCCGTTTACTTCCACTCGTTTCTTAATCATTCGCCCTCGACTTGTCGTTTACACCTTTACCGAATAGTTGTTGTTGTTTGACTTCTGTTTTGCATCTTATTTGCGCTCAACTGTTTTGACTAATAACCACTTCCATGCTGTGATTTTTGTTATGTGCTCTCAGTACATGTTCGACATTGCCTCAGATGGGGAAGAGGTCTTGCTTACGTTGATTCGGAAACATGATCGCGATCCACTGACCATGGCAATCGAACCTGCATCACACGCCCTTCCGGTCGGTCTTGGACTGTTTCAGGTGCGTTCCTGCTAGAGGGTTTTCTCTCAGGTGTATTTGAGTATGATGCGAACCACTGTGCATTTTGTGCATCCCATCATCATCATCGACAGCATGACATCAGTGTTCCACACCGATGCTTCACTGCCGTACAACCATGATTTATTTGAAACATATTGTGAAAAAAATAATGAAGATGGACGGGGAACGGACTGATTTCTAGCTTACTACAATCACTTCGAGGTGCCTACACCTCTAAACATTCACTCAGGCAATCTGAATAAAAACTGACAACAAGAACGCCACTGACATCGGGTGGCAGCCATATCTTGTGGTGTCTCCAACCAGACGCAGTGGGGATCACGCGGTCCCCATCCCCTGGAAGACGAGTAGCACCGACAGCACCCAAGCGTTTCATGATCTCCTTCATACTCCTCTGCCAAGTCAAGGGTTGGCCACCTCTCTGTTTACGCCACTCTGAGTTGAGCATGGAAAACAGCACTCTCTTCGGCAAACGATGGTTCGGCATACGTAACACATGTCCCAACCAACGCAGCTTCTGGTGCTGGACACATTCTTCAATGGAAGTACCCGTTACACAACCGAAAACACGCTTTCTAACTGCCTCATTACGGATTCGCCGACACCAACCCACACGAGCTATGGTTCTGAGACAGCGATTTTCGAACACTTGAATACGTCTCAGTCCCGCTGCTCGGACAGGCCAGGTCTCACAGCCATACAATAGAACAGTCCGCACTGTAGCTTGATACACACGTCCCTTGATATTCGGGAATACACCACTTCGGCGCAATAGGTGTATCAAATTAGCAAACGCGACCCGAGTCTTGGAGATTCGTACATTGACCGCATCTGTCACACTACAATCAGAACTAATACAACTTCCAAGATACGTAAAACGCTCCACAGTTTCCAGTGTCTCTCCCTGGATTGTAAGTGGCGTGTTCAGTGACTGTATATCCACGAGCTGACCCTACACTTTGTGGGTGCACAGTGCATACCAAAAGACGGGATGACTGGTCAGTTCATCCAAAAACACGTGCGCCTTCTCCTCTTCGAACATGAGACCGATGTCGTGTGCTTATTTCAGATCGAAAAGGTTTTCTTCACAGGCTGTTTGAACATCGGGATTTTGGAGACCAGCGTTCGTTTCATGACTTCATCGATCAGGAAGTTAGACAAAAATGGGGATAGTGGGCATCCCTGCGGACAGCACTATGTGTACGGAAGCTTTTGGAGAGCCCTCCGTACACTCTCACACGTCCGGAAGTCTGGGAATACTATAGGGCCACTACGACCCCTGTAATGGCTAGAGTGAAATGACTTTCGTGCAGTAATTGATGAACACAGAATAAATATTTGAAGGAACATACCTTTAAGGAACTGGACCAAAAAGTGGAAAAGGTGCACGGCCCAACAAAGGATACATCAAAAATCGTCTTTCCTTACTCTAAGTGACGGGAAACAGTTCTTTTGTTAGCTTGTCCATGATGGTGATGATGATAATGGTAGCGTTCGATGAAACCGAGAACAAATATTGGCTGTGTTCCTCGTCTGTTCTTTCTCTATCTTCTGCCTTTGTTTTCCTATATTGCAGGCCTCAGTATGTACCAGTACTTTCGTGGTTGAATCTCCGTTAATGTGCTGCGTTTCCTTCCGTGTATCTTTACGATAGGTCGAGAAAAATCGAACAACACGCGTTCATCAGCTGGGCTTTACACGGGTCGTTTATGTTGAAGCCGCCAAGCCCTACAGAACTGTGCTGATACATCGCATTCTCACAGCCGGTCGATATGTTCTCATACCGTTTATTGAGGAGCCGCTTTCTGTGTCGGCTTATCTCTTGCGTCTGTATCTGCCCAAACGAACCGTGAGCAGGTAAACTAACGCGTATTTCGGGTGCACGTTGTTAGGTTTTGCAACCCCGTTTGGGAAATTACCATGTTCTGTCATCCGTCTTGTGTCCTCACCTGTGCCAAACTTCCTTTTGTTATTTAGGCCCATGTTTCATGGTATTTACATTTACCGTCCTGGGCGTTTCACGATTTACCTGCTCACACCTTTTTCTCACACACCTTTTTTTGCTCACACCTTTTTTATAGATGTAAGCTGCACTTTAAACTTTCGCGTGCCTAGTTCATTGGTCCCGTTTATCACCCATGACTATCCACTTTGTCACTGCATAATTTATTTCCGACAGCAGCTTTACTGTACCTTATTACTACCACTCACACTATCGTTATTCATGTCGTCACAGCTACTGTTGTCGCGCCCGCTATTCCTTAATTGCTGTTTTGTTCGACATCGGCACGTTTGTGTATCTGTAGACCGTAACACTTTCGTGTATCCATTGGGGCACACGTGCTTCGTCCACAGCATTGGAAAGAATCGGAATCATTGGGTGAGCGAGTCAAGTTCAAATAGGCTACGGACCGGAGATGCAGTGAATCACTGAAATTTTTTGGGCAAATTTGCTACGCACGTTAGGTCAGTTGAGAATATGGTTAAATAGGCTACGGACCGGAGATGCAGTGAATCACTGAAATTTTTTGGGCAAATTTGCTACGCACGTTAGGTCAGTTGAAGAATATGGTAGACTTGAGATTCAGCTGGGATTCAGTTGAGTCTCCTGGTAAAACCTAATTCCTGTGCAAATAAGCGTATTTCACGAATGTATGTTTGAACATCGGCATGAATGCGTAAGTCCTTTTTGAACTCACTGTAAACAGTCTTAAGTACACGCAATACGCTACTCATAAGGTTATTGAAAGCTCTTCGACAGCTCACGACCGGTTTCGCTCTTCTCGGGGCTCATCAGGTAGGTGCATTCTCCGACCTTCCGCTAACCTTATGTTTTGATTGAACCCGAATTGGACAGATTTTGACAAATACACTCATTTACCTACAAATTTGTTTTTGACAGGAGACTCAACTTGATCCAGCTGAATCTCCACTATGTGATGGTTCCCTTCAACTTAAACAACTTTGTGAGCAGTGTGCCACGACTAGACAACAACAACATCTAGGTGTGGGTACACATCTGCTCTTGTAACGACGTGAGCGATAACCTCAAATAGACTCAAGTCCAGCCGCTGTCATCCCAAACATAGCGTGTGCTTGTTTTGTCGTCATTTAAAGTCTTATATTCGTCCCTATTCTCTTACCCCGTGTGTCACCAGACGCTAGTCCTACACCAGCTCCTGTCCACTTGGATGGCTAGTTTAAATACTGTTGAAGGCGGTGCAAATGAGCCCTATGAATAATTTAACTGTACTCAACGGTCGTCGTAGTATCCTTTGAATTACGTAGAATTAAATTGGCGTTCAACTATGACTAGCTGATTACGCAAATTTTTGGACACTCATTTGTTTCGATTTACCGTTTATCATTTCACACTTACTCATCAAATGTTTTCATTTCTTTCAATGTCCAGAGAGTTGACCTTACATGTCCCTCCAAACGGACCGTTCGATTTTTTCTACGGTCCATTCAAAGAAGCTATACGCTTACACATTCACAGTGGAGCAAACCTCCTATGGCCAGACGGAAAAAACCCTCCCTCACCCTACTGCATTGTGACAAGTGAGGACAGTCCCGTCCGGACTGTTGTCCGCAACGGCACAAGCAATCCAGTCTGGGACGAGGTTTTCATCTTCTACCGAAGACGTCCGAAAAATGTTCCGATTGTTATACAGGTGAGTAAGTTGATAGTGTTATGTTCTCGCACTCTTTTCAAGAACACAAAAACCTGTAACGGGCGAACGGTATCTTCAAGCGACGCGTAATACCAGAACCTCCGGGTAGGCAAAACAAAGTCGGAGCTGGGTTTCTATACGGTACTATTAGTGTAAGACAAATTCACAAATTATACAAACCTCGACAGTAGATACGCGTCAAAAACAAACGGTCCACTTGGACTACAAAAGTACAAACCAAGGGAGCAAACAGGCTCCCACGTGCGACAGTCACACGTGCAAAGTTGGCTGCAAATGACCAGATGACCTCATGGCCAATGGGTGAAGTGGTAAGGACAAACAGACGTCAGGTCATATATACACACTGAACACAAAACAGGGGCGGGGGTTACAAGTGGGGACAGTATAAACGTGGGGAATTTGTCAACGTAATATACACACTGAACACAAAACAGGGGCGGGGGTTACAAGTGGGGACAGTATAAACGTGGGGAATTTCATTGTCAACGTAGTAGATAATAAAAAACGGTCTTGCTTTTCCGGTGTTTTCAGGGTATGTTTCCGAACCATTGGTGACCAAAATTGAGCCGTATTTTGGCTTCTCGTCCCAATAAACATGTTTCGTATTTTTATGACGGCGCGGCCGATTTACGGATCGCAATTCGTGTGATCCAGCTGGGATTGTCAGTGATGTTCTTGTTGTGTGTCAGTTTTGAAAACATCCGATAGGGCCTTATACATACTTTATGGAACAGTCAGTCCGATTCTCATATGTTCGGTGCTTCTGGTGGTTTGGACGTTACTTCAAAACACTGCTTATTGTGTTTTCGATCTGAAATCCTTACCCTTTCGTATGAATCCATTTCAGGGTTGTATGGTTTTCAACGTTTCGTTCAACTGTAACAGCCTTTCGGTGCCTAGCTGCCTTACCACCCGAAGGAAGCACGAGGGCTGGGACATTACCAGGTTGCCCAAGCCTAGACAGGAGAATTCGACATACAGAGGCCGGGTTCGAACCACGAACCTTCCGGTCAGTGAATTCGCGCTTCAACCACTGAGGCATGAATGTCGACACTGATGTTTTCTATGACGAGGAGGGCAGCTACGACCGTCAGTGCGGCATCATCCATTTTCTACGTGGAAACTGTGAAGCTCTAGATTACGCGAACGAGTTAAACGTTTGACTCAGATACACTTGAAACGAAGATGGTATGATGTTCGCTAACAGCCTATTCGTTAGCCTAATGCTAGTCCATAATAGTAGGATATGCTATTCGACCTGGCTTTTGGATCCGGTCATCGAAATGTGGGTGGCCTCCCCTCTGGAGTAAATTGAACAGAGCACCTATTGTTTAGCTTTGTTTTATGAGGTAAATTTTATCAATATTTACAGGTTGTCCTGGTTTAGTTTCCCTTACGTAGATAGATCGTATTGGAAAAAAACATAATCTTGGCAAAGGTATATTCCGTCCAAGTGGCACTGATTTAGTTGGGGGGATTGTAAGCACAGGTTTCACTATTCTATTTATGCATTCCATTATCAAGTGCAAAGTTCTTCGTTTCTGCTTAGAAATACTAGATCTTAACATGTAAGTGAACATATCAAAAGTACATCTTCCCAACCCCTACATGGGCAACTAACTTGAAGCAAAACCGAAAGGTTACAGCGGTTGGTCTGTTGGTCGGTCATAAATTATTAGCTTCCGTGTATTCAACTGAAAAGCGACTTTTCATCACGGCCTTTCCGGCATCCATTACACTATTTAAGCGTGTTCTCTTGACTAAGTTAGCAGTAGCACAATTTCTGTGTCTTGTACGGATCGGCTGACCAACCCCATGCAACCATTTCTTTGTTATTCCTACCCATTTACAGAGTTTCTTACCGTCCGGAGAGCACATGTCCTCAAAACCGACAAAAATCGCGCTCCCCACGGAAGTGCACTCCCCTATAACCTCGATGTTACAAAAGTACCCACACGGTCCCAGGTTATGGGGATAGAAAAAGCAATGGCATGGACAACTATTCTGCATTGGTTGTTAAGCAACAGACAGTTGGCTATAGTGTCTATTGCCGGAAGCATATCTGGTGTGTGAATATATGATAAGTATCGATTGAAGTTGTCGCTGGTATTGCTGCCGTGAACCGGTCAGTAAATTCGCGCTCTAACCACTGAACAATCTCGCCCCATAAAAACCGATTACTTGTCGTACAGTAGTTATAGCGAAAGGGTGATTGTGAACAGAACTATGCTAACTTCATCCTCCTCAGTTTGAACTCAGTAACCCTACCACCCTACAGTAATGCAGGTTTAGGCACGTTAGACGAACAGACGCTAGCTTGATCAGCATGGAGCTGATTTCTCTTCTATCCGCGGAGAAGGTCATGCCCCTCTTGAAAGCACTCATCTGTCGTAATGCAAACAACTTCAGGACGAAGCGATCTCATCAGCTTGCCAACTTATGATATGGGGTCCGTGCGGGGCGAGGTTTTTCTTTTTCCCAGGCCTGTTCGCAGAGGATCAAGCGGCTACTTGTCAGATCGCACATCATGTGAAGCACACACTGTATATTATTTTGTAGCCTTATTCTCCTAACTCAGCTTTTCATCGTGATCTTAAGTTACTTCAGTGTCACCTGATATGGTGACATCAAAATAGGATTGATGTTGCCTAAGTGTGGAGGGTGTGGCAGTGCGGCGCAGCCTCTGTTTCCTGGACCGTGTCGTTAGTGTATTAACCACCCATCCAGATGTTTGGCATCTCCACCACACCTCGTTTGATGGGTAATTATACTGCTCAATCGAATCCTCCTCATTTTAGTTACACTCTTCATTTGGGTAATTGAATGCACTTGATAAATATAAGTATTCTAACCTTCGTTTTGGAGCACCGCAAGTGATGATTCCCGCATGTTTATTGCCGGCACCACGGTGTGTGGCTGTAGGGACTTGGGAGGAGGTAACCCTCGACACAAAAGTATCGTCCACTAAGGCATGCTCAAATGATGGTTTATGGTTGAGATCTTGGACAAGACAAGTGAAGGTGCTTTTTCCTTCCAAAAGATAGCATCAGCGTCCTTTCAAAGAGGATGGCATCCCAAAAGGTCGCGGAACCGCATATGGTTGTAAATTACGGTGACAGGTGGTGTCCACTAAGTGTATCATGCATACGAGGAATATAGAAAGCACCAGAATTGGGATTTGACCTGTTCGCGCCGTTGAATCGGTGTGATGCCCTCACGAAAAATCATGATTTTGGGTCTATCAACAGCTTGTCTGTCAAAGATCGGAGTGAATATGTCATGTTCTTGCGATTATCTCCTTCTTTTTGGAGTTAGGAGCTAAAATCTGACATAAATGTGTGTTTTTATGACGTCTGTTTACTTGCACTGTTTCAGTATTTTCGGGCTAAAGTAACAGGGTTCCGGCTTGAAACTTAGGATGGTTACATAATTTTTTCGTAAGATATCGCTTAGTCAGTAGCAATCAGACGAAATTGTTGTTCCTCCCTCTTGCTTTTTTTCAGGTTATGGACAGACGAACCATAGGATTTGATGTGTTCCTCGGTCGACACAGTTTCAAAGAGGTGGAGCTGGCGCAACGTACACAACAGGAGATTGCCCTATTCGGTCGTGACAACAAAGAGGAGCGCTCCATGCGGATGAAGGGATCGTTGTATGTGGAATTTCATCTAGTAGACGCGGAAAACCTTATGCAAATATGATCAACATCCGCACACTCTTCATACGCATGAATCTCATGCCTCATCCTCCGTGCTTTCTTTTTCTGTCTCACGTCCGCTGTTCACTGTGATTTGTATTTGAACCATCGGCCATTGTATTATCCCTTCCTTCAGTCCCTAACTTATCTTTTTATTATCCTGTAAGTTTGGTGATTTGCGTAATAAGAGATGGGTAGTCCTACCAAAACAATCGATAACGTTTTTTGTGTTTCTTCATGGCGTTGGATCAATGTGGTGGTCGAAAAAAACAAGGCAGTCGGGCCTCGAGAGTTAGTCATTAATGTGTTATAAAGTAGTGACAAGCACGCAAGTCCCACTAAGAACGATTCACTACTAAAACGCAGCCGGGTAGCCTAATACGCTAATTTCTGCAGTGGATCGAAGGCTGTGACGTATTCCGAATCCCTAGTGAAATCGTGGCTAGCGTACTAAAAGCTGTTCTTTTGAGAGAGGACCAAGCCCGAACTCCCTGGGAGATTTGTCGGGCCATCAAGGTGAGTGGGTGAGTAAATGCTTCTCAAACCAGTATTTTTACCAGACAGCTTGCTTGCTCGAGCCACTTATACAACCTGTTGATGTTACCTCCGTGGAGTATCCTTCGTAGCTTAACTTATTTTCTCAGAATTAGATACCAGTCAGTGATTGCCTCTCTGCAAACTTGAGTACATGTGGAGTGAGCCCCAAGAATCAGGTCGAAAGATTCAGTAATCATAGCCCCTTGGCGCACAGCCGTCAGAAAAGAGCATGTGGCCCACTGAGATGCCGATTAGAATGATTGGTGGTCTATTCCAAAGATGGGTTAGCCTGAGTTTGCTTGTCATGTGAATTCAGCTAAATATAATCTGAGGCACAACATGTCAGTTTAGAAGATTTGCATATCGAATACAGTGCTCATCATGGGGACCGGGCAGGTAAACCGTGTTATGATTGGTCCCATACTATACTGGAGCAGAGGCTATCAACATTAGTCAGAGAGCCAATTATGCTTCCAGGATTCTATCAGGTCGGATACTGTTTACTGATCAAAGCTTATGTTATACATTTATATCGTTTCAATCCAGCTGTACAACACTACATTCGAGAGCATCATGCGGCTTGGTTTCAGTGAGGGTGACGAAGAAGTACCACCAACATTGTTGTATTACACGTAGCCGATACGGGCCTCAAAATCGACTTGGACAGCGTTTTTGAATTACTATGTGGAGTTGCTCACAACCGTCTAAAATCGGTGCAGAAACTATGTATTATTATAGCTGAGGCCGTGGCTGTGCGGTTGCGGAGACTAAGTTCATGTGACAAGCTACCGTGGTGGACTTCAAACTAGTGGCTGACGTGATTTCACGTGACCGGACGGCCGATCCGCTTGCCACTCGGTCAGAGATTGCCATCAGCTACGTGGATATAATCGAAGTTGTTTGTGTGTACTGAACTTATGTTAGCTCAGCCGAAACCATGTAAGTAATTATGATGTAAGTATTAAGCTCAGGTTTGTACTTGACTTGATAAAGTCCTGGAACGGTGTTTGTCACGGCCACAAATGAACATCTTCAATTCCTATATTAACGATGCGCTCGAATCATGATCGAGTCCATTGACTTAATCGGCTACTGAGCGAAATCTGAACCGTTTAAAAAGGCGAAAACACCACTGTGTTCCTCAATGTCTCTATTGCCCACCTAGGTGGTTCACTACCACAGAATATACAAGAAGTCGGATGATCCCGCACATCGGAAGTTGTGCGTTGGTCAACCTTTACTGGGTACTGGTGAAAACCCTAATTCATAGGATATATCTATTCACTCCACGAAACGATGATATGCACGGAGGTTGCCTCAATGATATTTTGCTCGAAAACAGGTGCTCTTCGTTGATAGGGACCATGAGCTTAGCGGGCTAAAACATGTGTCACAGAGTGATCTGTCCAGCATTACATTTCAAAGATGGTTGGGGGTTTCCGAGAAACAATAATTTGCAAATCAATTTGCTTCTCACGAGAGACTCAACTGAATCTCTCGTTTATGGTGTTCTATAACTGAATGTGCTGCGATATCTCGAATATCGTACCAACTGAATCATGAGGCGGCCTGTGTGCAGCCCATTCAGTTGTAGAATATCATAAACCAGAGATTCAGTTGAGTCTCGTAAAAACCAAACTGATTTGCAACTGAGTGTATTTTTGGAGATTATGTTACTTATAAATCGTGGCAGTAGTGTACGTTGTGGAAAAATGGGGATACCCAGTGTAGGTGGCAGGCTGTTGAAAAAAGAACTTTAACTGCTTTCGTCCCTCCGAAATGACCCTTTGGCCATTCCAATCAATTGCCTTTTGTCCCTTTAGTAACAACACTCGAAATGCAGAAATATTGAGTGAGATTTTCAAGACCTCACTTTTTGAGTGGATCAGCCTACACGCAACGGTCACTCCATCGTTGCATCGTGGGGCGTGAATCGATTCTGGCTGATTTGCTATTGTGCACTGTTGTCTTAGGTTCGTAGTCCTAAATTTAAAAGTTTTGGGCCGCATTTAGTACTTGATCTACTAATCAGATTGGCTAATGGAACACAACTTAATTGATCGCCTCCCTCGTGTATGGACACGTGCCTTGAAAAGGTCAATCTAATAGTGCGTGCTTGCGGTGTGTGTTAGTGAGATGACATTTTGTTATGGTCGTTTGGGTTTTTAAGATGGAAAATTATACCTAAATACAAGCCACTAGTAGTGTCACGTCACTTTGAATGTAGCAATCAATGCAACATCGTGCATCTGAATGTCCTCAAGAGTGATGTGCTTCCAGTTTTGCGCCGTCGAACATTCATTGCACTTCGGCTCTTTACTCCCGACGTCTTACGCGACCGACTCAAATTTGTCCCGTCAATCAAAGGGTTCCCCGATTATGACGTGTGTACAATGCAACTCATCAGAATATCCGAATTCTATGCATTCACCAAATTATCATTAGTTTCTATCAGACAGTTTTCCACTAGCAACTGGTCGAAACGAATCTGAACACTTGTCTATGGTCACTCTGGCCTGGCCTATGATCGTTGCACTGGACATCACCTCACGTACACGAAGTAACTTTACAAAAGCTGAATGGACAATTAAAGGACTGTAAGAGGATAGAGGTGGCAAACAAGTCCAAACTATTATGATTATGTATCGTTGCATATTACCCAAGGAAGGTCGATAAGGTGGGCAAAGGTGTTGACGTGAGCCATGAATTACGCAATCCATTCTCTGAGGCTTTCACCTGGAAAACTGCACCGCCATGGTCGGCGCCATAAAGGATCAACAATCCTTGTCGCTAGAAATACGCGAGTATGCTGACCTACAAAAAGAGACCACTGTCCATATTTTCATCCCGAAAACGTTCCGGTAACATCAGGCGTAGCAAGTGAATGGTACAGAGCCGCTTCCAGCCGCTCTTCTGTACCCCGTCAGTCTCAAGAAAATTGAATGACTTCGAGTTACTCATAAGTAGACAAATTTTTATTTTTCATCCAGCAAGCCACCTAGTGGCATCGTAGGCTGGCTGACAGTTGCTATCGCTTGCTTTCGCATATCAGTTTGTCAAACTAGGAAGTTTTAGGCTGCATTTTGACACTGATCTTTTCAAGGGTAACGTATTTTGACGCCTTCGGTGTAAAATGTGGCTGGATGGGTCCAACATACCAAGCTGATTTAGATAGCTGTGGATGAAAAAAATGGCTCAAGATTGATGCGGATTGTCTACCTTCTCATCCAAAAAGGTGAAGCTCCGGAAGAAATTAACCGTTAATCAAACACTACGAAAAGGCTGGCCACCTATGTTGTCCACACACAAGAGATCCAGTATATGATTCTTGAATAAATGCCTTTTTTGGCTGGGAGTTAGAAGTCTACCAGTTGATTGCTTCCGCATTTATCATCTTTTATCGCACTAAGAATAGAGCTGTGAAGGTTCTCATCTAAAAAATAATATGTCATCTGTATGAGATGCCCCTTCATGAAGCGGGATGATTTTTTTATGGTGATGAAGCCACTGACTCGGAGCCACCATACAATTTTTAACTTTCATTTGAATTGCCTTCACTGTAAACTGATGTGGTAATATTAGGTTACTCATACATATACACGTATGTAATTGCTTTCAAAAGATGAGACGGGACAGTGAATAGCACTTACCCACTAAAGAATCACCCAACTCATGTGGGTATAGCGTTAGCTATCTCGTAGACAGACTTCGTGTGAAACGGTCCATTATTTTTTGTATCGGTCCCCTCAATCAACACCAGCCACAAGGAAATGTCCAAATCATCTTAGTTAGTAAAGTAACCCTTCTGAATCCTTGTTATAATTAGTCCATGGGAAATATTAGGAAGTGCAACCAAACGTCACGCAGACGAACCACGGAAGCCGGCGATGTAGTGCGCTGACGCTAATCACAAGCCCCGACATTTGAATTCCAACGTCCTTATAAAGACTAGTCCATTCCATATAAGTAGTGTCAAAGTCTTAAAAACTAGCACCACTTGCTTACAAAAACAACGGCTGAAAAAACTGTCATTGGATAGGGAATCAGTTATTCCACCTAATACAGCTGTTGGTGTATTATTTAACTTTAACCTCATCACTGAGTATACGAGATCAAATATTGGAACATAAACTGGATGACGCTGCGCTCGGAACTTGTTGCCAATCGTATTTTATATGGGTGCTATCGACCCTGGGTAGTCCTGCAGCCGATTGATTCCTCTCCAGAAAGAATTCGCATTTGATGAAATGAAGTAAAACAAAGAAAAGTTCTGACCGTCTGTCTGTTCCCTCTGATGAGTTACTCATTCAGTTTGGTTATGGGAAAGTTTCGTTATACAACACTCTGTATCCTTCAGGAATCACCTTCGGGGAATTTCAAAGTGTCTGCAGGCGTCTCCTTCGATGATTGTGGTCTGTAAGGAGCAGTCATGTTTCTGCGCCCATGATAGAGAATTTCCATTTGAATATGGGTGTTCTCAGTAGTTTTATGAAAGTGTGAGAAGATGTTCCTCATTGCCCGAAATTAATGCATCTCCGTGAATAACAAAATACGGAAGTGATACGGGGTATATGTATGGCGATCGACAGAATTCGTCATCGGTGTTGTGGCCAACTTGGTTTTTATTAGGAAGATTTATTTAGCGAAGAAAATTGTGGCACCTTGAAGA